AGAACACATAGAGAAGATGATAAGTAAGTACTCTATCACTTATTGAGTCCACTCAATGGGAATCACCAAATAACATAGTTATGACACCAGATATGCTTTCAAAAGGTACTTGCTGAGTGATGAAATAAAATTCTGCAGAGACAATCTTATGTATAAATCACTTAAAAACAAAACAAAACAAACAAACAAACCCCCCCCCCTTTTTTTTTTAATCTGGAACTCATCAAGAGAGTCAGTAATAATTTCCATTTCAATATGTAAAATGTTTTGGTAAAAATGTATGTGTAACTGTTTCATAAGTTATAGTAAATTCTGGAAGAGGAGGTAAAACAAGATATCAGAAAATAGTGATCAGAGTACAAACAGTATCAGAACTTTAGGACAGCAAGCTGAAAATATGAATCAAGATCCTTAACACTAATCTTTGAGTCAGTAATGTCATTATTAAGGCATTCTAAGAAAAAAATAGAACATGAGGGATTTTTAAATTATTTAAGCACATGAGTGCTGCTACAGTGCTGGTTATAATAATAAATATTCAGAAACAACACAGGTCTCCTCTCCCCCCCCCAAAAAAAGGGAAAAAAAAGATGAAAATATTTGAATAAAATCATTGAATAGATTATTTATTATGTATTCATTAAAGTGGTATTTATAGACATTGCAATACATAAAAAGCTTTGTTATAATGGGAAGTGAGCTCAGATTTCCCCTAAGGGAAAGTGCTTCATAGGAATATCATTTGGGCTGTGGGAATTAATGAAGAGAGCTATTTACTTGTCTTTTCTTGAGCCAGGAAACATATGCAGTGTTCCAAAATATAGCATAGATATTCTTACTATCATGTTTTGGTTCTTGCCTGTTTTCAATAGGCTTCCCTATTTCTAATATTCATTTTAATTTTGGCTGTCTACCAAGTGGTAATTCATCTTACTTTCTCATGATGATTGCATAATTATTCTAGAATACAAAAACTTCCTGTCTCTCGGTCTTGTAGAACTGTATGAGCAATTACAGTATCAAGCGATATGAAGGAAGTCATGGATATCCCATCACGAAATTCTATCAAGAGGTTTGCAACTGTCCTCTTACTTGTTGGAGGAAGGAAATAAGATTCAGAGCGTGGGGCACCTGGTTGGCCCAGTTTGTTGGGCTTCCGACTCTTTCGACTCAGGTCACGATCTCATGGGCATGAGATCAAGTCCCATGTTGGGCTCCAAGCTGAGCACAGAGTCTGCTTGAAGATTCTCTCCCTCTGCCACTTTCCCAACTTGTACTTGTGGTCTCTCTCTCTCTCTAATAAACAAATAAGTATTAAAAAAATTAAAAAGATACAGGGCTTAACTCTCTGGCATCAAAGCCAGATTCCACCCATTCAAGTCCCATCTTCACTAGCTCTGTGACCTTTAAGGAAGGTGTATAATTTTTCTGGGCCTCAGTGTGTTCTTCTATAAAATGGAGATAGTAATATCCATCTCATTTTATCATCATGTTGCAGATTTATTATGCATTAAGCTCTATAATCAGAGTCTCTTCCTTTTAATATTAACTTAGATTCATAGATTACCTAGAGTAGGATATGCCCTAAATACTTAGAATTTTGACATTTACTACACAACCTTCTAAACTTGCACACTATGTAAAACCAAGAACCATAGTAACCATTTCTGGTCGTCTGAAAGCTCTAATTGCTGGTTGGGTTGACAGGACTTATGTGGACTACAAATATTGGTATACCTTCAGTTATTCCTCTGGAGAATAGGATGCAACATAGAGAAGAAAATTCCTAACCAAAACAACATAAAGAAATGACATAATAGTGTTCAGTGACAGTTTGTGGGATAAGTGAGAGTCTCACGTTTCCTCCTCATATGAGGAGGCTGCCAGATTGGGTAGGAATTGTCCATACACTCACCACCTCCTTCTTTAACAGTGGTTTTGAGTAAAGTGTGTTTGAAAAGTAATCTAACTTGTACATCCAAGTTCTTTATGTGTCATCAGGTAAGGAGGAAAGAAAATTGAAAGGGAATGATGATATATCTACTTTTAACAACAACCTGCTCTGCCTAGAGACTTTGGGAATTCTCATTTTGCTATGTCTTAGAGTCTATCATACTCTACCCCTCACCCAGACTCATCTCTTATCCACAAAGGCTGGACAGAAAGAGGGTAGTCCTATCTGTCCTCAACACTGTTGGCTCACATTCACTTGTAAGCACCTATAACGAAAAAATAAAACACACCTTGAAGGGCTTAAAGAGACAGAAGACTAAGAATACTCAAGAAATCATCAGTCTTAAATAGTATGAAAAATGTCTTATAAATCTGAAGACTTTATTTAGTGTTCTTTTTTTTAAGATTTTATTTATTTATTTAACAGAGAGAGAGAGAGAGATCACAAGTAGGCTGAGAAGCAGGCAGAGAGACAGGAGGAAGCAGGCTCCCCACTGAGCAGAGAGCCCAATGTGGGGCTCAATCAAAGGACCCTGAGATCATGACCTGAGCCAAAGGCAGAGGCTTAGCCCACTGAGCCACCTAGGTGCTCCTTTTATTTAGTGTTATGACTGTGGATGACTGCTTCAGAAAGTATGCACCAACACACCAAGGACACTGCCATTTCTACAAGAGTGGAGCTGTGAACTTGCTTTTGTTTTACCCAAGGGTAATCTTTCTTTTGTCTTCTGCACTTTGGCAGCTCTCATCTCTTATGTCCCATGTCAGGGGCATGTGCTTTTTGCAGTCAGGAAAATGTTCCTTGAATCAATTAGTTTATAAATCTGATTCGAAACAATGGTCCTCTCCAAACTGGGGAAAGGAGAGAAATGAGTTAGAGGGTGACAAATTCCTGAATTATACAGGTATACCAGGTGTGTTTGCCAAACCTCAAAGCCACCCAGGTAACTCTGATTTCTCCTGGCTGGGTGCCCAGAAGGGAAGAAAGAGTTTAACAATGTTGTGACCTATGGCATATACACTGAGCAATTTCACAGCAAGGGGAATCAGGTGTTATAAAACAGAATGGTATTGTTTTTTAAGACTTTGCGTGTTGAGTCTCCTGCTCATCACCTTTGACAGTGTTCCTTTAAAAATCAGCACCTCACTTCCATTGATTTTCAACTTCACACTTTTTTTAAAAAGCTAGAAATATTTTATTTTTAGCCTTAATGGATGGAGAAAATGAAAGGAGAAGAGTATCCATAGAGATGAACCCCTCAGATTAGTGTTAAATTACTTCAGGAGAAAGTGAACAGAATCAGCTTGAAAAATCTTAGACTTGTTGTCATGTGATTTGGCCAAAAATTGAGTAGCTTTGATTTAAATCTCCTTCGAAGTCCTCACTATTACATTGATGGCTATTCTCGTTGTCATTGTGCTTCTTACAAGAGCACTGAGTTGGCAATCTGGACAGTACTGTATGCATCATGCAATGTGTCTGTGCATGCATAGATTGTTCTGGGCTATTTAAGGACAATATTTCTGGAATAGGCTCCACACTTACAGACTTTAAGTAATAGACTTCATTTTAAAGCTAAGTGCTGCTTTTCATTTCCATAGGCATTCAACAGCAGTAGCACCCTCCCGTGATGACCTTTGGGCTATGTCTTCTCCGATTGGATTAGATAGCTCTGTGGGCACCATTGGTCGATTAGTCTTGCAAATCAAAGAAAGGCCATAGAATGGCTGAGAGGTCTTCAGGGGTGAGAGTGATGACACTGCCCATCCTGGATCAGAGTCTGATCTCAGCCCTGCCGACATCTCCCATCCATTTTCTGAATCCGTAAGTGCCATTCCAGGAACTTAAGAAGCCCTGGCAAGTTTGCTCCGAGTGGACCTCACTACAGTCTTCAGCAGCTCCTTGGCTTTGTTCTTACATTTTTCCCTAGCAGGTCCTTCTCCTACCTCCTAAGTCAATTTCACAGCTCACATTTCCGATGAAATCTTCTACAACAATAGCCAGCACCTTCAGATTATGTCTATCTAAATTACACTCACAGTTCACTTCACACAGTTTGACACACAATTCTCTAAATGACAAACCTCTATTTTGGCATGTGTTTTTGTTTGGTGACTCCAACGAGACTATAAAATTACAGTAATCGGGGCTCATGCTATTCATTTAGTTTTTACTCGTCACCCCTGGCTCTTTGTATGCTCCAGTCTGCCTTGCTCCCTGCTTCGTCTCTTCTTACTTCTCCTCATTGTCAGGACTCTCCAACCACGTGAAATCACTTAGAAATTCAGTTTGCTTTTGCTTTTCTTTTTCTGTAGCATTCTTACCAAAGATCAGCTCAGGTCTTCTATATGAAGCCTCCCTAAAACGGGCGTGCTGTCTTCTGCACTTAGCACCATATGCTGGTTTTATTCTCTTTGATCCCATGGCAAAACTGTACTTCCCCTCCTCTTGAATTCAAGTGTGCCCCTGTGATGCTACTTGGCCAACAGAATGTGAGTGGAAGTGATGTTTGCCACTTCCCAGCAGAATCTTTCAATAGTGAGCACATGCTTCCTATTGCTTCTTTCTGCCATGGCAACCTTCTAGGTGATGGAGCCTCTGTGAGCATCCCAGAATGAGAACAAAGTGGGAAAGGGACCTCTGCCAATGGAAGATGAGCACATAACACAGGCAGGACACAACCACTGGTTACTCAGGCCACTGAGATGTTATATTATTTATTAGAGCAGCACAACTGAGCCCATGTAAACAATGTACTTGACTTAGTAGCTCTCCTTTGTGGGCCCATGCACATCATCTCATCTGTGCCTCCAATACTTATTCCATTTCCTGTGTTCCTGTCAAACCATAAATTCCATAAGGATATGGCTTGTATCCATTTATCTGTCTCACATGGCCACCATGGAACGGGCAAACATGACAGCCTCTCAAGAAACACATGTTGAATGAATGACAAAAAGTACCTGCCCCATTTGAATGCATCCTAAAGTTAACACTGGTATTCCTGGATGTTTGCTCATTCTGTGGGTAAATCGTAACTACTCACAGTTATGGCAGGTGGCGCCCGTGTAGCCCGTGTTACTGCAGTTACAGTAGAAGGTAGTCCAGGATTGGGAGCAGCTTCCCCCATGTTCACAGTAGTTTGGCAAACACCTAACAGGAGATAAAGCAAAAGCAAACAAAATAAACCAACTCAACTGAAATGAAGGGGAAAAAACAATAATGTCTAATATCCAGCTGCATGAATTGATAGTAGAAATTGGTCTGCTGTATGTCTATACCTAAATCAGACTTGAGCAACAGCAAAATAATTCTATAGCTTTATCACAGGGTGATAATATCCACAGGGTGGATCCTTCTAGCACTACTATGTAATGAAAGGATCAGAGCTGATTTAGGCAGTTACGTTAAGCATTTCAACATTGGGGCAAGTTGCCATTGACTTAAAGTTAATTTGAAGTGGTCAGAATCTATATGATTTTTCATTTACTATAGAATAAAATGTGCAAAGATTGTGGTTTTACATTTTGGAAAGGTTCTACATTTTTAAAAGGAAGTGAAAAGGGGGCAGATAATTGAGGTCACTGTCCTCATGACTCTCTTTTGGGTGATGGCCAGGAATCTATTTTAAACTACACATGAAATTTGAAAAGATGGTACCTGCTCATGTAACACGCAAGGAAATTCTGTCATTTCAAAAAATGCCAGCCCCACCCACCTTAAAATAAAGCCTTTATTACTTACAATGAAAACAGTATGACTATTCTGAAAAATATTTTCACCACACATATTAAAAATGCTCCAAATCATTTGTAGAATTTGACCTCACAATCACACTTAAATGGCTCTATCTTAAGCATATATCTCAAAATATAATGTCCAATACTGGAAAATTTCTTAGGGACGTTGTGGTACATAAAATGAATGGGCTATCATAAAGCTACAGCAAACAGTTAGCAAAAAGGATTATAACAGACAGAGACTGGATTAAGTGAAAATCTGAGATATGAAGCATGGTCACAACAAAGCAAACCAAATATATTGCACTGCAAAACTGATAGGAAGAATAGATGTCAAGTAACACTTGAGGTAATGGGAGTAAAGGCAATGCTCCTATCTTCTGGACAGAGATCATGGGCTTGAGGGTCACTTATATCTGAGTTCAAATACCAGCTGAGCTATTCACTGCATGGCGTCTTTGGGCAATTCTCTTCACTTCTTACATACATGATTTAAAATATCTACATGGCAGGCAGGCACTGTTGTGACCAAGAAATAACCTGGCAAGTGCTCAATACATATAATGAATAAAATTAAGATTAAAAGCAGTGATAAATACTGCAATTCTTGAAATAATCTTTATAGGGGGAAAAAATCCCACTGATTTAAAAAGGGAGGGGGTGTGAACAATGAGGTTATGGAAGTAGTCTAATATAATAAAAGGGTTCATTGTGTAGCCTCTGAGAATGTGAGGCAAGCAAAAGTAAGATGATTTATCCTTAATGTCCTATATAGGTAGGAAACCCTCCAGCAATGATTGTTTCAAAGCTCAGAAACTAATATTCCTGCATATGTTCAGACATTATTAGAAGTTTTCCGCTCAGCACAGCAAACACACAATTGTGCTGACAGAGCTTATGTTTGGGGAAAGCATATTGGTGACTCCATGGTACCCAACTATGGCTTAAAGAACAGAATAGGGGAAAAAAGAACCAGTAAATTTTCTGTGGAACACGTTCACAGAAATCAACCAATCAATACATAAACAAAAACAAGGGGTGCCTTCCCTAATACAGATTTTATCCTTCCTCTTGATTCCCATTCCCAGTTGGTAAAAAAAAAAAAAAAAAAAAAAAAAAGGGTAAGAAACAGATTTGTCACTGAGATGGACCAAAGTCCCTCTCCCTGACTAACCTTGTGCTGTGGGGAGTTACAGAACCTTGAAGCATCAGTGTCCTCATCTACATATTCCAAGCAAGGACCTCTGCCTCAGGGTATGTCCTGAGGGAAAGCCTATGGGGCTAGCTCATGAAAACCCACTCACCTTATACCTTTCTTCTCTTATATCTGAGCACCTCCCTGCTTCTGAATTATGCTGCTCCTGCAATGCATTTTCTCGACAGATTTTCCCTCTGGAACTGTCCACACACTCCTGTCTTTATCCCTATCCAACTCCATTCCACTCTCCTTCCCCCAATACCAAATAAAGACCCACACACATACAACTCACTGGCACACCATGATTGGCAAATTATACTATTATTAGCTCCTCTTCCTTCCCTAACATAAAGTTAATTGCTTTAAAGAGGGAGAGCTGAGGGGACCTAGGTGGTGCAGTTGGTTGAGCATCCAACTTTTGGTTTCTGCTCAGATCTGATCTCAGGGTTGTGAGATCTAGCCCCATTGTAGGGCTCCCATTTAGTGGGGAGTCTGCTGAAAACTCTCTTTCCCTTGTCCATCCCCAATATGTATTCTCTCTCTCTCTCTCTCTCTCACTCTCAAATAAATAAATATTCCAAAAAAGAAAAAAGATGGAACGTTGAACAAAGCCAGGTTGGTAGGCATTTAATCCTGTAACTTGTTGGTTTTGGTGCCAAGGAGTTTTAGGTTGGACTCTTTTTAATGGCTGAAGCTATAAAATAGAAAACTCAGAAGTTCTAAAGGGACCACATTTTCAGCCACAAGAAGAAAACTTACATGTTGTAAAAGAGAAAGGGAGAAAGAGAGAGAGAGAATGTTGGGGTGCAGAATGCAGCAGAAAAGACAGATGGAGAGTCCTGATAGAACTTGTGTGGCTGGTTCCTGTTGTTTCCAAGATTTGGTTGCACCCCTGAACTTCCTGAGGGCTGGCTGTTTTACTCTGTATCACATGCTGTGAGATAACCTGAGATCTTTCTAGAGAAACCCCCATTCCTTTCAGGCTGGCTCAAACCGGGATTCAGTGATTTTCAAGTAATGGAATCTTAACTCTTTGTAAAACAGAATTCTATAAATACAAAAAGAAATGAAAACACACATTTCTCCCTCTATTCTGTACTTTAAAATATTTTAAAAATGAAGATTTCCAAATTCAGTTGAGCATGTCGTAGGAGAGGTCTTGGGGAAAACAGTAAGAAATATCTGGGCACTTTGAACATATCCTTAATAAGCCTCACATAGACTTTGTATTGAAGTGTTAATAAACTCAATTTACCAAGGAAAGTGTAGGATAGAAATTCATTGCTTGTGGTCACTTTAAAAAAAAATGATATATTTCTGAAAGACAAAAAGAGTGTTTTGGTAAAGGACAATCTAATATTCCTAAAATGAGGAGGAAAAAAAAAAAAAGAATGGATGCTTCTAGCTTGGTTCATTTTGGTTCAATACATACTATGATTAGAAAAAGTCATCTGTAAAGCTGACACTCAAAATAAAAGATGTATAACCCCAATATGCTTATTTAACAAGGGCAGTTTTATGAGTATAATTTCCATAGTCTTTAATCAGTTTCTTTAAACTGGTACTTTCTTTTTTCACTTGCCATAAACTAGGCACTGAAGGCATGACCCAGAAAGAGAACAGTGGAGGGGCTACCAGAGTAAGAAAAGCCCATTAAGAGTGAGAGCTCTGTCACAATCTTAGGGGTAAGGCCCTCAATTCAAATTGTTAGGAGATAAGCACTCGGAATTCCTATCTCCTAAATTTCTAACGATCCTTCATATGCAGCTGGACCTGGATGGATGTGCTCTCTCTAGGTGCACTTGGTTTAACAAAAAAACCTTCAGCACGATCAGGACACTTTCCTTCACCTTGATTATTGTTACCTTTAACAAGGTACTGCAAAACGCAATGACCTTTAGCCAGCCTTGTGACTATCCTAATGGCGTTTAACGGAACGTAGTTTTCACAGCTAATCTCCTACAAAACACATCCACCAAAAACTTTCCTCTTATGAACAACCTAAAATGAAACTTTGACATGTGCTCACCATCATGTCTGAGATGTTGTTTTAATGTTTTATTTCCCCTGTTTAATAAGAGAAGAAAGACAAGAGGAGGGTAAACAACTTGCCCAGATACAAAGTGACAGAGCCAGGAACGTGAGCTATGCTACCTGTCACTGAAACCTGTGTTCCCAAGCACCATACATCCTCTCTCTGCCAAACGCCAGATGACGCACCTCCTTAAAGGTGAACTCTGAGCGTGCATTAAGGCACTCTTCTGCGAAGAGTGGGATGGAGGGGCCTTCATATAGTTACCACTGATTCCAGAAAGTCATTAGCAAACTTGGAGCTGTGAGGTTAGAGCATAGAAAGATAGTGACAAACGGGTCAATTGACAATAAATAAACCTGAACTAGAGAATAAAGGCATATTTATTATACAATTAGCATAATGATATATAATTCAGTCTACAAATTCTATAAATTCAGTGATGAAGAGCAGGGAAAAGAGATTTTGATTCTATTTTCAATTTCTTTTCACAACCAAATTGTTGAATTCTTAAAATAAGAAATTCTTCAAATAAAGTTACTGCTAGGATAGCCCCTGTCCCTACCCTACTCTTGCTCTGATTTCTTTCCTTTCCTTTTTTTTTTCTTCCCCCAGATGATGGAGACTCCCTCTACATTTCTTAAGCCTATATGAGTTAATGTGATTGTTTCTAGTCTGTACCTGCTTTTGGAAGAATGTATGTTATCCCAAGCTAGACAAAGCTATTTGACCAATCTAAAAATTAGTGACATAATGTTTAAAATAAACTTTGTAATTGTATAATCCTACAAATAGAGAAAAATGCAGAAGTCCATCAAGGTCTATTCAGCAAAACAGAAAATAAACTCAGGATCCAAAGTTGGCCTTTGAATGCAGGACTACGGGCTTCATGGCCAGCCTGCCAGGATGTCCTGGAGCCATTGACTGAACACTCACATGTACACAGCTCTCGGGGTGTTCCACTGGGATTAACCAAGCTTGTGCTCACATCTCCATCACTCAGCATAGGTAGTGTTCTCTTTTAACACAGAATTTTTAGTCCTCCAAATTTCTGAATTTAGTACCAAAAGTTTATGACAATCAAAACCTCAGTATTAATGCTTGGGGGTTAAGAAGGAATAAGGTATTGAGAGAGAAAAATGGTCCCAAAGATGATCTCAGCCAGAAACTTCTATATGATATA